CCGATCACGACAACAATCAGCACACTCGAAAAAGAAAACTACAGGCGACATATTCTGAAACAGGTATCTTCAAACGTTTAACATCGAACAATAGAACAGCTGTTGTTGAAGTTGATAATAAGGAAACCCGTGTTTCTGTTGTGAGAATTAAGCCAACACGTTCCTAAACTAAAATTTTATCCAAGGTTTCCCAACAATTTATGCGTGTATATATACATATATCTATATCTAATAAAGTTTACAATAAATCGTTGTGACATGATAATCTGAGTAGAGTTTAGTCTTATGACCACTCGTTAACAATTCAAAGTTAAATTCTTAGCATGCATTGGATTACGTTACTTGACTAGTCTCATACAAAAGCATTACATAGAATAAGGATCAAAGCCAACACTGAGTATTTGATATTGACATACAATAATAGTACAAACGTTGTGTGTATGTTTGTATAATATGCGTCACCATATAATCCGGCAGGTTATAATTTGTGGCCGATAACAATAATAAGCAATTCAATTCTGAATTAACGTTCGTTGTTATACAAGTCAAGGCTTCCTTTCGTTATACTTTTTTTGTATTGATGCAATTCAATTATTTGGAATAGACTGACTGTATCATACGATGACGATGCATGCTGTATTAGTGATTCATCTTTGACTCTAATTAAGAGTCACTGTCGAAGAGCAAATCGTAATTTAACTGTTTGATATTTTAATCAAGCTCGTCAAAGAGCTGATCGTATGATAGTGTATTGGTGTAAGTAAAGAATAAATCGTATGAATGACGATATTGGCTTAATGTTTTAGTCAGGAAGTATTCGCTAGATTATGTTCACTATTGAAGACATGATAGAGTATGTCATTTTAAAACGTCGTTGATGTACTGTCCCGTAGACAGGCTAGTTGTATGTGTAAAGGTAGATCAACAGAAATATAATGTACGTTTTCATTTCTGTCAGAATTGTAATTTAACAGGGCAGGGTTCTTACAGTTTTGTTCATCAATCCGGCGATATACAAAGTGTATCAGTATACTGTGTATTACTGTAGCCGATTTTTTATGTAACACAGTAGGATACAAATAAGGCCGACTGTATTACTAATGTGTGATGATGACGTGATTTTAAATATTAGGGGCTGTGATACCCGCAATAATTAGGTAATAAAAAAATCACGTGGAATGCAAGCATCAGCCGACTGCAAGCATCAGCTGCGACAATTATTAATGGATCCGGTTCGTTTGCCCGACAAAAAACTACCCCCAAAAAGGATAACTTTGAAATAATGCTGGTAAATATTTGTCGGCCAAATGAACTGTCGGGCAAACGTTTGTCGGAAAGTAAATGGCTCCCGTTATTAATCTGAAGATGCTTTAGCAAAGTCGGACGTTATACAGTACTATTTTAGAATTAATTGTATTGATAGTATAGTCAGCATATTAATATAATTAATATTTATTATTATTTAAATATTAAATTTTACATCAACTTGACCTGTGTGTCACAGCATAGTGACAACCAAACAGTAATGTGATTGATTATCAAAACATAATATAGTATATCTAATTTTTGTTTGACTTATAATCATTTACTACTTCACCATTTATATTGAATATTACCATCATAATATTTTTCAAGCTGATCTTTAGCAAAAGTGTTTCCTTGTTCAGCTGCTTTTTGGTATAATTCAACTGCCTTGATAACATCTTTTTCCACACCACTTCCATTATAATAACAATTACCAAGATTATTCTGTCCATCAGCATCTCCCTGTTCAGCTGCTTTTTGGTATAATTCAACTGCCTTGATAACATCTTTTTCCACACCAATTCCATTTTGATAGCAATACCCAAGATTATTCTGTGCTATAGCATAACCTTGTTCAGCTGCTTTTTGGTATAATTCAACTGCCTTGATAACATCTTTTTCTACACCACTTCCATTAACCAAATTACGCAAATTTCAAATTCAGTTCTATGACATAAATTGAAATCTTTATTCCCGCGTGTAAACCAATCATCGATACACGGGAACAAACTTTCTACTACACATTAATATACTTTTCAAATAACCATGCAGCCAAACTTGGCAGCGTAGCCGCACAATCAAAGATTGACATTGCGAATAACGATCTTGACAATAACACCAACTACCCTAGACGTAATATTAATGCAGTCAATTATCTATAACGTCGCACAGTATAATTTTTATATAAAGAGCAATATTCATGGTAAAGATCAACCTTACTTCATCATTGTCTCCTGCCTAAAATAATGATGTAATTATTAAAGTTATCGATTTATAGTCATATTATTCAACACAGTTATAACATCGGCAATCATTTCGCAGACATGATGTTTCACCCGACAGGGTCATTTCACGACAATCATTTTACCGACAATCAAACATTCAGCATTATTTCGAAATAATGCTTTTCTGGTAGCGGACTTTCGGTGAAATGAACCGTTTTAGCAATGGCGATACGAGGGGTGTTACCATGTGTTACTATTTGATATCCATTTGTTACAGGGACAATATTTGAGTGATGACTACCCAAGACCACAAATAAGAGTAATCTTAGGAAACTATTTTCTTATAAAATGATGGCATGTCGGACTGTATCAACTGAAAAAAACTTACCAATTGACTGATCAGCAACTACAAAAACTATGAAACACCCAATTTTCGCTCTGTTCTTTGCGTTGGTTACAACTTCAGTAATTAATGCCATTCCGCATGGATTAAGTAAACGAGCTACCCAATTTCAGCAATGTTCTGCTCTCATACCACCTCTCGACGTATCCCTGTCATCTGATTCCATTGTTTCTGACCAAGATGTCACTTTTACCGTTTCCGGAAACGCGACAACTGACATTACCGAAGCTACTTTTGGAATATATTTTTACGACGACGAGACTGGCTTTGAACAGTCATTCAAAGATAACTTATGTAACGTCTATAAATCATGTCCCATCAAGAAAGGTGCTGCGTTTGACTTCCAGGTCACAATTAAGCCGGTAAATTTGCCTACGGCTTATTTCATCGATGTGTACATGTTCAAAGACAACATCGGGTTCCATTGCGCTAGGAACTACACGTACTCCGACCAGCCGCCGCTATCAGAGTAATCAACAAAGCACTCCACTCGTGTATTGAGCTTATCGAATTTTTTTCCATTAGTGTTGCTTCGTTTCGATCGACTTTTTTTTCTTCTTGCATACGCGCATTAGCAGTATTTACGTAAATTTTAATCATATTTTAATTTAAAGTTTCTGAAAAACGGCATGAGCAAAATTGGAGTGTGTTCTAGTTAACATACGAGTTCGAAGAAACTTTTTCAATTGTTCTTATATTTTACCCAATTTTTGTTGCTACATTTGATATTGTGCGCATTAATATTAATATATTTTTGTAAACTAGAAATAGACTAAGGCATACAGAGTAGTTTGAGCAAGGTTAAAATTTTTACAAAGTGAATTAAACAGTTTATAACTTTTTATATTCAGAGTCGATAAATTAGAGCATTTATAATAGATACAATGCAAATGAAAAATCGTTGCAAAACCGAATTGTTACAGAAGTGGCAATTCCGTAAATTTGAGATTTTGAAATACAGTCGGTTAATTTGGCGAACTCAAATCTATCACAAAAAAAGTTTATATATATTTTACACCGCCTATTTAACATTTTCATCCTTTCGAGATGTCTTGCACCGGAAGTCTTTCATACCTGCAAATTTACTCGTAAATCAGAAGTATATTCTTTTGGTACCATATGTACTTGGTTGCCACTGGCGAATCGCCATTTGGGGATAGACAGTACGCTTGCTGAGCGGTGTTGTTTACGCAACATAAAATGGTCACATGCTGAAGAAATATTTTTATCCACAGGTCCATCCATAGTATACGCAGTAAAAAAATTTTTACTGGTTCAGTGGTTAGTTGAACTGATCCATAGTGACGATAGTGATAACAATATGATATAACAATGACATGCTGTAGAAACATTTAGAAGGGTTTTTATTTTGGGCGCAATAAAAAATTTTCACTGGTTAACAGTTCCGCGTTTGATTTTAATTATCTATGAGTGGTGATATTAATAACAGTAGTATAAAAAGCGGTAGAAACATTTAGGAAAATTGGAAAGGTGTTTATTGATGAAGATTGTACAATTACGATAAGTTACGCGTATGAAACTGATATGATATTGATAACAATACAAATAACAGCAAAAATATTTAGAAGGATTGTCTATTTTTATCATACAAATAACTGGTCCGGATTATATTAATATCCGGAGTATATACAGTAAAAATGTTTCACTGGATATTATTATTACATCATACGTGGCTCGCTAATCAGTAAAAAATTTTTACATTGATATTGATATTATTATTTACTGGAAACAAGCGTCATGATGTCATGGTATCATATCAGATTCTCACGCTCCTTGTCAAAGCTAAATTCTACGGGACCAGAGAAATATTCTTTATAACCAGTAATATCTTATAACGAGGGTCACTTTTTATAGCTAAGATTATAACTATTTATAATTGGCTTGGAGAAAATCTCGTTATAAAAAGATCTTCATTATAACCAGAGTTCGTTATAGCCAGCTTTGACTGTATAAGGTTGCAACTGATGATATATATATTACATGCGTCGAGTTCTCCTTCACTTTATACTACGCACATACAACCTACGTGTCTCCTTTACTTCATTACGCACATACAAATCATCAAAAACAGACAGTCCTTTATACCACCCCATATTACGCACATACTGCCCGAACAAATCGAAATGCCAACACGAAATCGCTACCGATTTGCAACGCGCATCGAAAAAAACTTGAAGAAGCGGAATTTACAACGAGGAGGAGGTAAGACGGGTTTTTTTCTAATAAAGTCTTGTTGTGTTATTGGTTTTAATTATTATATTCGTTTTTAGTGGAATGAATATTTCTGCAGAGTTTGGAACTAGCAGATTCCATGTCCAGTGCGAAGCGGGTGAAGAAGACATTGGTAATTTGATTTTTATCATTACTTATTACTATTGAAATATATAAAACTAAGCTTCTTTCTTTTTTCACAGGTGAGGATGTCATGCAACGTTTTGTTGATTGATGAAGCAGCGCTCCAACGAAATAGGGGTCGTTGCTGCTAAGAGGGGGGTCTACTGAGGAAGCTACTGTGGATGCTACAACTTTCCGCAGCATATACTTGGAAACCCCAAACAGCATTGCCACAAGTTTGAAGCGAGTTGCTGAGAAGGGTGTATGGGAGGAGAAGCTTGACAAGGAGAAGCAAGACACAGTATGGAGGAGGGAAGAAGTCAGTGTGTTTGAGGATAGTAGAGGTGGCAAGAAGGGCGGAGGTGAATGAGGAGAGTATATATGGCTTTCTCTTTCCATTATGCCACTGAAAAAAATTACCTTCAAAATAGACAAAGCCTTTAAAGGTACCCTCTCAACCGTAATTATTATAACAAAACCACACGTCCCAAATTAAAATATTGTCCATGGAACTATCAAGTAATATGGCTATGATATATTTTGTTGATGACAATGACGATATCTAAAAGCTAAGTCAACGAAAAGAGAATTTATCAGAAGACATTAGAATTCATGTTTTGTTGTTTTTAGTATTACTAGTGTATAACCCGTCACTTCGTTGACAGTGTGGTTATTTTATATTTTACATTAATACTTTTATTTCGCTAACGTATCCATAAAGAAATAATGAACATTTGATGGTCATCTATTGGATAATTTTGTAACACGAATATGCAATGTCCGTCCACCTTGCAGCATCCAGCTTTTTTAAATTATATATAGATTATCATTATTATCAGTATATTGTATAAATTTTTTACATTAAAATAATATATAAGTTTGGTTGTACACCAAATGATCTTATCATTGATATGATAAAGAGTGCAATGGAACAGTTACATTCTGCTGGATACATGCATGGTGATCTCCACAGTGATAACATTTTGATCCATTATCCAAACACAGCATCTTGACTGGGCCAGTGTACAGTGAACATGGGCAAGTCAAATATCCCGTATCAATTAATCCTGCCATCATTCATCATGATAGTGTTCAAGGTCTAGGACCAATTTTAAAGAAACATGATCAATTTGTGGTCTCACAATTGGAATTTCAAATTATAATTAAACCAATATTTAGTGTTAATATCACAGGTAGAAGTAGTCCAAACTGCCAGCCTTAAATCTGACCACTTTCAGCATTGAGCATCTGAGATAGATCCATATTAATGTAAAAATAACACATTTTAGCCATACTGCAATGTTTTCATAGATTTCATCCTAAAAATGGCGTAGTTTAAATAACACATTTCAACCATACTGTAGTGTTTCATAAATTTTATCTTTAAAAATTGCATAGTTTAAATAACACTTTTCAACCATACTGCAATGTTTCATAGATCTTATTATCTTAAAAATGGTATAGTAATAGTTCAAATAACACATAACACATTTCAACCATACTACAATGTTTTCATAGATTTTATCATCTTAAAAATGGTATACTTCAAATAATAAATAACACATTTCAACCATACTGTAATGTTCATAGATTTTATCTTAAATATGGCGTTGGCTAAATAACACTTTTTTAACCATACTGTAGTGTTTTATATATTTTATTAGTATTTTGTAATTCAAAACGACACATTTTGTCTAATTTTGAACCGTTCCTGGTTAAATTTTACGTATATTGAGATTACGTTAATGTTTTTTAATCTTAAACGACACATTTCCGCCTAATTTTGAATATGCATGTATTTTTTAATTCCAACCGACCAGGCACGTTTTCAAATTGGGCAAAAATGTGTTGGCATGTTATACGTATGTATTGAGATTACATTGGTATTTTTTAATTTAAAACGACACATTTCTGTCTAATTTCGAGAACGTGCCTGGCAGGCATGTTACATACACTACCCTAACAAAAGTATCCGGTCAAGCTTTTTTTGATTTTCTCAAGATCGGACATATCAATTAGCTTTTTTTTTAAAAAAAATAAACGCCCTGGTTCTGACGATTAACTGTGTTTATTTGTTTTGTATTATGACGCGTACAGCCAATTTGGTAATAAAAACATAAACAACGATCAATTTTGCGTAGTAACAACCTTATGCATTTCAGGATGATAATGCTCCCGTTCATACCGCAAAAGATGTCAAAAATTGGATTACACAGAAAAAGATTAAGATTCTCCCAGATTGGCCTTCCCAATCTCCGGACCTTAATCCTATTGAACATTTGTGGCATGAACTTGAACGGAGACTTCGAAAACGATCTGTGCATCCAAAGAATTTTTATGAACTTGAAGAAGCTTTGCAAGAAGAATGGAAAAGAATCCCATCCGAAACTTATATTAATTTGATTGAAAGTATGCCACGTCAGATTGAAGCATGTATTAAAAACCAAGAATGGCCAACTAAATATTAAATATTTGATGCAAATATAATTTTTATTGATCGACCGGATACTTTTGTTAGGGTAGTGTATATAAAGATTATGTTAGCATTTTTCAATTCATAACGACACATTTCCGTCTAATTTTGAAAACGTGCCTGGCTGACATGTTGCATATAGTGAGATTAGATTGATATTTTAAGTCAAAACGACACATTTCCGCCAAATTTTGAAAACGTGCTACACAGATTAATATTACATTAGTATTTTTTAATTCTAAACGACACAGTTCCGCTTACTTTTGAAAATGTGCCTGGCTGAAATGTTACATATTAATATAGCGGTTACATGAAAATGACACATTTTCGCCTAATTTTCTGTCTGAGATGTTAAATATATATAGATGGCATGATTGGTCAATTTTTGACGCGTGCGCAGATTTATTGACAAACGTTTTGTGTTGTTGTTATTATCTCTATCTCGCGTCTCTTTGAGTTTGCCTTACTATTATCAACGGCTGTGCCGGTTCTCAACCATATTCTATAACATTAGGTGAGTATATCATAAGTCCAGCACAGCATAGATGTTGATACCCTCAAAAAGCTTTTTATAATAGAAATAACGGTGCGGTAACGACGAGTTTTTGCGAAAGGTAAACTTAAGCGCAGGTTCTACCTATTTAT